GAACCAGGCACAGTTACACCCTGAAGACATTAGCTGTTATCCCTAAGCCTTTTACAGGAGAGGCGAAGGTGCCATTTTCTTTGCCTGCATATTGCCTTGTTCTGCACCAGGTCAATGTCTAATACTTTGTATCATTCTGGATTCTCTTGAGTTGTAACAGAAACTCAAATTGCTCAATTTGAAAGGCCAGGATTTCAGGACTGGTTTACAGGGTGGGGGCATTGGGGAGGGTTCAAAGATCCTATCAGGACTCAAACATCTTTTCCCTACAGACTGGTAAGGTAGGTTGGGCTCCCTGGAGCAGGGCCCGGACTGGGGTGGGCAAGAGAGGGCCTGCTCTCAGGTGCCATGCAGCATGCCACAGAGCCTCCTCCACTTTCCAGCACTTGGCTTGCCTGCCTGCCCAGGCCCTGCCCTGGAGGCTCTAAGTCTTTCCAGTCCTTTGGTCCTGACTTGAGAAAGAAGCACTTCCTTGAGAGCTCCAGAAAAAGTTCCTGAAAGGGCCTTGATTGGTCAGGCTAAGTCATGTGCCCATGCCTGATCCAATTGCTGCAGCCAGAGGGCAGGGGAGCTCTCATTGGCCTGGGGCATGAGCTGGGGAAGCCCCAGCCAACCACCTGGAGGAGGCTGTTGAGGAGGCGCTTCCTCTAGGAAGATGGGGGGCTGGCAGAACCCCCCCCCCCATTATACAGCATATTTCACATCTTGGTCAGACCTTCCTTATTCCAGGAAGGATGACTTTTGCTCTGTGTGCCCACAACAGCCTGTATTCCTTATCATTCATTTCTCAACAAATATTTTTTTAAAAATTTATTTTTTTCTGTATTGATTTTAGAGAGACAGGAAGGGAGAGGGAGAGAAACACTGATGAGAAAGAACATCGATTGGCTGCTTCCTGCGTGCCCCCCACTGGGGATTTGGCCCACAACCTGGGCATGTGCCCTGACTGGGAATCGAACCGGCAACCTCTTGGTGCATGGGGCGACACTCAACTACTGAGCTACACTGGCTGGGCTCAACAAATATTTCATATGTACTAGGCACAGAGCAGAGGGTCCAGGAGGAACCCCAACAATCACAGGTTGGGGTGGAGGCAGCAAAGGGAACTGAGTGGGGGTGCTCTGTGAGGTAGGAGAAGGTCTTGAGAAGTGAGGGAGTTTCTGGGAGGAGTGGTGGACTCAGGTGGGACCAAGAAGTGACTACTGAATTGGGCAGCAGGAGATTGTGGTGACCTTAATAAGAGTTGAGATTGGGGACACAGCCCTGCTGCGGCGCAGTGAGGAGAGGCTGGGAAGGCAGGGAGTGGAGAAGGCAGGTATAGCTGCATCTTTGGAGTTTTTAGTGGGGGGAGTAGAGAAATGGGGAGGAGGCAGAAGGACATCTAGGAGCAAGAGAGAATTTCCCCACTTTTTATTTTTATTTAATTAATTTATTTAAAAAATTTTTTTCTTTATTGAGATTAGAGAGAGAGGAAGGGAGAGACATCAATGAGAGAGAACATCCACTGGTCGCATCCTGCATGCCCTCCACTGGGGATCAGACCCACAACCTGGGCATGTGCCCTGACCGGGAATTGAACCGGAGACCTCTTGGTGCATGGGTCGACGCTCAACCACTGAGCCACACTGGCTGGGCTTCCTCCACTTAAATAAAACAAAAACAAAAACAAAAACAAAAACTGACGAAGGGGACAGGCTGATGGCACAGGAGAGCATAGAGGGGAGGGCAGGAGGAGGGTGACTGAGATCAAGATCAGGATAGGAGAGCCTGCAGGGCAGGTGGGTGCCAGGCAGGGAGATATGTCAGTTTTGGGACTGGAAGGTGAGAGGGATCCTATCTGATCGCTTCAGTTTTTATCACTGAAGAGGGAGGAGAGGTGGAGGACTGGGTGTGAGGGCAGAAGGGGCTGTGGGAGATGAGAGGATGGGGGGAAGGGTGAAATCTGTCTCAGAGAGTGGGAGAGTGTCACCAAAAAACATGGTAGAGCTGCTGACTACAGAGTGCCAGTTTGAAGTCGGAGGTCAAAAATTCCCAATCAAGCCCTGGCCAGTTTGGTTCAGCGGTTAGAGCGTCGGCCTGCGGTCCAGAGAGACCTGGGTTCGGTTCCCACTAAGGGCATGTACCTCGGTTGCAGTTTGTTTCCCGGCCCCTGTTGGAGTAGTGCGGGAGGCAGCCACTTGATGTGTCCCTTTCACGTTGATGTTTTTCTCTCCTCTGGTGAGGATAAAAAAAAAATTCCCAATCAGAAGGGTTGGCCCTGGCTGGTTTGGCTCAGCAGTTGGAGCGTCGGCCTGCGGTACAGAGAGACCCGGGTTCGGTTCCCGCTAAGGGCACGTACCTCGGGGCCTGCGGTACAGAGAGACCCGGGTTCGGTTCCCGCTAAGGGCACGTACCTCGGTTGCAGTTTGTCCCCGGCCCTGGTTGGTCGTGCGGGTGGCAGCCACTCGATGTGTCCCTTCGCATCGATGTTTCTCTCTCTTCCTCTCTCTCCCTCCCGCTCTATCTGAACAAAAAATGGAAAAGTGTCCTCGGGTGAGGATAAAAAAAAAAAAGCGTTGACAGTATCCTCCTACCCAACCAACAAGCAGGGGCAGGAATGGAGGCTTTTCTTCAGTTTGGAGGGTTTCCTACGGTGGAATGTGTGGGGAGATGAACTCTAAAAATCCACCAGGCCAGGCCAGGAGGTACATACTATTATCTGTTTTTGTTTGTTAAACCTCACTCAAAGATATTTTTCCATTGATTTTTAGAGAGAGTAGAAGGGAGGGAGGGAAGGAGGGAGAGAGAAACATCAATTAGTTGCCTCCTGTACAACCCGACTGGGGCTGGGGTTTGAACCTGCAATCCAGGTACTTGCCCTTGATCTGGAACTGAATGTGGTCTCAGGGCTGATGCTCTCTAACAGCTGATCCAAACCAGCCAGAGCCTATTATCTGTTTTATTGATGAAGAAGTTGAGAGGTTCAAGCCCAATGTGGTATCCAAGTGGCCTTGGGCTCAAACTAATACAGGGCCTGGCACATGTTTGGTGTTAAAAAATATTTGGTGAAAATTGTGAATGGTTGCAGAGCCCAGTGATGCACCCACAGTGATCCAGACAGGAAGCGGCCCCAACCTTGGAGTTGGTGGGTGGGGCTGGTGACTCCCAGCCACGCCTGCTGCCCTAATCAATGACTCAATATTACCTTTGTGTCCTTTGTAGGCGAATCTTTCAAGTGTAGTGGTATAACACTGTAGACACCTATCCGGCAGGGCATCCTGCTCCTAACCTCATTTCTCAAGCAGGCTCACCTCCAGATAAGTCACAGGCCTTAGCCACATAGCCCAGGCCCTGGGGAATGCCACCTCAGGTACCTAACACTTGGCTTTGCTGTCTACACCCTACCCAGGCGAGCTGGTGGGGAGTATGCCAGGGGCACATACCTCCACTGCCTGGGGCTTTCCAAGGAGAGGGCTCTCCCTTTAAGGACAGTCCAGAAGCATGGACTCTAAACTTGGTGGGGGCAGGGCTCCTCCACGGGGAGGGAGGGCTCCTAGTCCCTTTTCGAAAAGGCCATTTAAGCAGAAATGAACACGGTCACTTTACTGAAGTTAATAATAATGGTTCATGATGCACAAAAATGTGGAAGCGAACACCCTGCTTATTTATTCGGGCTTAAAAACCATAAAACTCCAGATTTCTCCCTGTAGTTATTTATAACCTGAGCTGGTGTAAACTGTCCCCATATTAAGCTCATGTTTGAAGTAACTTAAAAGAAAAATAGCCATCACTGCATTTAAAAAATTCATTTATAGACCTCTCGTTTCCTAATTATGGACGGACAGCTTGTGGTTTGGGGTGGGGGTGGGGAAGGTACGGACCACCGAGCTATCAAGTCGCCCCTGGGCTGGCCGGTGGTCAGTTTGCAGAGCAGGGATGTCTCGGGCTGGGTCGTGCTCTCCCTCGCCCGGTGCCCAGGGTGGAGTGGGGGAGACCAGGCAGGCAGCAGATCCGGAAAAGTGGCTCTTGCCTTGGAGGAAGTTGACCCTCCTCCCCAGCAAGGGCTTGGGATGAAAATAGCTTCTTCCTCTTTACCCATCCGGGCCCCCAGCCCATTTCTCTAAGTCCCCCTCCCCATTTCTACAAGAGCTCCCCTCCCCCCGGGGCAGTTCGGCCCCGTCATTGATCTCTAGACGACCATCAGATGGCAGGGACCCTCCCGTCCGGCCTCGCAGGCGCTGCGCACCCCGCAGCTCGGGCAATTACGGCGACTTCCAACCTCCCCCCACCCAATTAGCAAAGCTCCACAAACCCCGCGAGCTCCCACACTGCTTCCTTTCCCTCCAGGGGAGACTGTCAGCTGGGAACCCTGTCCTCTGCACCTGGGCTCCCCCAGCCCTTCTACACGCCCAAACCTCTCGGGGAAAGTGGGGGCGCAATTAGTTTCTTTCAATTAGTTTCTCCTCTTTGTATAGACCCATTCAAACTGTGAAATGTAATCTTCCGCGCGAGGGGGAAAGTAGTCCCGACCTTCCATTCAATTTCTGTTCTCGTGTCGCCCATATTTTACTTTCTGAAGCCGATGGGACCCTCAGTGGAGCCCTTCGGGGGCTGTGGGGGTCGAGGCCGCCGGGGGTGCGCGGCGGTGAGGGGCTGGGAGCCGCGGCAGAGGAGGGGGCGGGGAGGGCAGCTAACTCCTCGCTATTGCCTAGAGAGATGGATCATGGGGCGTAGAGAGATTGCAAACCTCAAACCACGTACAGCGGGAGATACGCGTCAACCGAACCTGACCAACGGAAGCCCGAGCCCCCCTCTCCTCTCTCCCGCCCCGTCCCTTGGATAGACGGGTGCACCGAGCCAACCGGGCTGCCGCTCGCCGTCCAAATCCCACAAGGGCCAATGGGAGCGCGCGGGGGCGGGGCCGCTCCGCATCGGGTTGGGCTGCGCGCGGCTTCCCCCTGCGGGCCCTGGCCCCGCCCCCCCTCCCGCCCGCTGCTCCCCGAGTAGTTAGTGCCAGTGAAGTGCGGGCGGCGATGAGAGCGAAAGTTGCTCTCGGCTCGGCGCTGGGGGCTTGAAGCGGCCCCGCGCTCCGCCCGCCAGGGCCGCCCCAGCCCCAGCTCGCGCCCGCCGCGCCTGTCCGGCCCCGCGCCCGCCCGCACCCCCCGCCCCATCCCGGCGCCCCCTCCTCAGGAGCCGGGGTGCCCGTCACTTTCGCCCGGCTCCGGCCCCCTCCGATGCCGACCATGGTGGAGAAGGGCCCCGAGGTGTCAGGGAAGCGGAGAGGGAGGAACAACGCGGCCAGTGCGGCCGCCTCGGCCGCCGCCGCCGCCTCGACCGCCGCCGCCTCGGCCGCCTCCGCCTCGGCCGCCTCGTCCGCCGCCGCCGTCGCCGCTGCTGCCTCCGCCTCCTCCTCAGCCGCCTCGGCCGCCGCCGCCCCCAATAATGGGCAGAATAAAAGTTTGGCCGCGGCGGCGCCCAATGGCAACAGCAGCAGCAACTCCTGGGAGGAAGGCAGCTCGGGCTCGTCCAGCGACGAGGAGCACGGTAGGTGGCAGCCGCCCCGCGCCGCCCGCCCCGCGCCCGCGCCCGCTGACCGCCCTGCTCTGCTTCCCCGCAGGTGGCGGCGGCATGCGGGTGGGACCCCAGTACCAGGCGGCGGTGCCCGACTTCGACCCCGGTGAGTAGCGCCCCGGGCCGGCCGGCCGCGAGCCCGAGGGGGGCGGAGAGCCCTTGGACAACTTTCTTTTTGTGTGTTCGCCCTGCCGTCCGTGGGGAGAACAGCAGGCGCGACGCGGAGGGAAGGAGCACACCCGGCGTGGGGTGCCGGTGCCTCTGCCCACCGCGCGGGTCGGGCTGCCACCCCTGGCCTGGGAGCCCCGGCGGTGCCGGGTCCGGACGAGCTGCGCCTCGGCCGGGGGGAGGGTGGCCGCGCCGGAGAGTTAGCATCCCGCGAGCCCGGACCCGGGGCGGCCTCGGACCCGGCGCTCTCCTAGCGAGTGCTGCCCCCGGGCCTCTTCTCCTGCGGCCCCCGGGCTCGGATCGCACCCCCTCCTCCCCCAGAGGCCCCCGCCGCAGTCCTAAGACCTGTCTGTAAATGCGTGTGCCCCCCCCCCCCCCATTTTTGATGGAAGGGGTTATGGAAGAATAGGACCTGCCGAAGCTATAGCCCAACCAGCGATTGCCACCCCTAAGCAGCCCCTACATCCTAGACCGGAGCATGTACTTCCCTCGCTGCTGTTTGGTGTGGAAGCAAATTTAAAGTGGTACCAGAAAAAATCCAATCAGACAAAGGAATTCGTCAGATTTTAATGCATGAGATTCTAGCCCGTCTCCGCGTGAGGTTGTCTTTAAAGATTGTTGGCATAGAACATGTTTCAGAGGACCTGGTGTTAGTTATTTTTCAGACATACAATTCAAAAGAGGATCTTGTGGACCTGGAGTTAGCAGCCCTCAAGGTTGGAGGGCTTTCCAGCTGGGGGTTCTCTATGTAGGTGACCCCGCTAGTTTCTTTGAGAAAAGAAGTGCTTACATGCTTTTCCTTGGAAACAAGGCTGCAGAAAATTGCACGGATCTAGTCCCTGAAAGAGGCGATTGCTCTTAAGCTGTTATTAAGGTGCAAAACTCTGGGTGTTTTTTGAAGTGAAAACACACAGGGATCCCTGAGGGGGCTCTTGGATGCCCTGGAAATAAACGACCTTTCTCCTATGTGCCTTCTAAATTTTGGTCCGTGGATTTAAATCTCTTAAATGTATGTAGTCTAACACCCAGGTTTGTATTCTTTTCAAACTCGTGTTAGTCTTTTTGATAGTTTCCCCTTCCCCCACACCTTCCTTTTTTGGTAGTCACTTCTCATTTACAGAGGGACGGGATGGAACTGGGAGACCGGCTTTCTCTCCCGTGCACGCCTTCTCCGTTCCTTGCTTGGCCACCAGGGGAAGCATACTGTTTTTTTGGTTACAGTTGACCCTATCTTCATTTTGTAGGTCAAGTCCATCTTTGTTTTAACACACAGGATATAAAGCAAAGCTTGTCACCAAGTTATCCCCCCATATTTTAAAAAATCAACTTGCACAAATCTTTTAGTAAGTTGGACAGTTTGGGTACATTTGGGTTATATTAGCTTTAAAATCTTTTCTTAAAAATGTTGGATGTGGCTAAGGAAAAGGGCATATTTGATGGCATCCACAGGAATAGATTTCTGACATTCTTGTAGGTATTGATGGCGATCTCTGCATTGTTGGTAAGGAGCCTAACTTTAGAGTTGTTCTCTGAAACAGCAAATGTAATCGGATCGTATTTGAGCTGTGCTTGCCTTTTTGATGGGATAGGTACAAACATAAATTTGCTAGACACTTGCCATTCAAAAAACAAAACATTGTTCTGTATAGTCTTACTGCCAGTTGATTGGGTCTTGGTATTAACATTTCCAATTTTCCTATTTTGTTTGTTTTAACCTAGAAAGGCATCTAACTGTTATGAAATAATATTAAGTCCTGTTTTGCCAGTCTGAGCATTGGGACACAATCCTAGGTATTGCTGAAAATTGTGGGACTTTACTGCATCCTAGTGATTTTTTTTTTTAATGTGTATTCTCATATAACTTAAAGTCTGAGGGAAGAGACGACTTCCATTTTGGAATAGAAATGGTCACCATGTTTGTTTCATGGAAAAAAAGTGTTTTTTGTCTTTAGATGTAAGACAGATTCTTTCCTCAAGTATACGTTAGGTATAGTGTGGATTGGTTTTATGTATTCATGGTATTCCAACTTGACCCTATTTACCTTTAAAAGCAAATGGTTGAAACTAGGACCATCAGATAATCCCTAATCGTAAAGGAAAATTCATTTCTGTTGTCCTTTAAAGTAATGGATGAAGTGGATAGAGCACTGTTGTCCTGACATGCTGATTCAGCTCTTCTGATCTAAATAAGACCTAGATTAAATCAGTGGAATATGGCATAACTTGGTAATTAAAATACCATCTATGTTTACAACGATAGAAAAAGTTTTATCAATTAGATTTAAAAATGAAGACCAGAATGCAGTTCTATACCTTTAACTTCATCTTTGTTCTCCTGTGCTACCCCAGCTATCTTTCCATTCTCAGTGCCGTAGCGTGTGCCGAGTTGTCATTGGTTTCTGTTAGAACTTAGTAATCATAGAATTGAGTAACCGAGGAGTGCTTATTCTATCCTACCTGTGGTTAGTTATTTTATACACTTGCAAAGCATGATTTGTTTTGAAATGAGTACTGTTTTCTGTACAAAAATGTGAATGTTCCCAATAAGCATGCAAAGGAAGAAGCTATATAGCCTGTATGTTTCTTTGATCATTTGTTTGGTGCTTGTTCTGTTATCTTCTAGCTAGAGGAGCACAGGGACAGGATTTTAAGGTTGACTCAAGTTCTTTGTTTTCTGAAGCATGTGTTGTTGTCAACTTTTAACCTGAGTTGGTTTTCAGTATCACTAATAGTAAAATTAAGATTCTTATAGAAGAGGAAATGTTAATGGTGAATATTTTTGTGGTAACGGTACTTGAAACATACAACCCATATTTGGAACATTGAATCCAATAGATTTAATGAGATTTGAAAATTGTGGTTGTCATTGGCTCAAATATCACTTCAGAGTTGACTGGCGTTAAAAAATGTTTTACACTTTAAAGTGGAAAAATTTTACTGAACAGAGCATCTTACTGAATGGAGCATCTTCACCTGCTTTTCATTTCTTTTTACTGGTGATTCTCTGTACCTCTTTGAACACGTTATTTTCTATGCTTTAGTTTCATTGTAAAAATCAGTTTTACAGATATTCTAAAATTCTTAAGTTATGGTGAATAGTTCGTGATTAAAACATACTTTGAGGCATTGTTCACCCAAATGAGAGGTCAGGGTAATGATAAATCTTGTAAGTGATCAACTTCATTAAGTAGTGTGGTAGGGAGAACACCTAGAGCTGGTTATCAGGAGATTGAATGCCCTGCCTCTGTGATTAAGAAGGTGATAGAAGGTAGAGTTGGTCATTTTATCTCCAGGAGCCTCAGTTTCCTCAGTTATGAATTAGATTTTTCATCACTAACAGTCTATGGTTATGTCAGTTACAATCACCCTTTACATTTCATGTTTATTTCACAAGCAATATAGAGTAGGCTGTGAGAATTGTGAAACCTGGGTTCAGGTCCTGGTAGTTCCTCTGGCCACCTGTGTGTTGACCCTGGGCAAGTTACTTCATCTTTGCCTTCATCTGTAAAAGAGATAATGGAACTTCTTCAAAAGAAGGAATTAACTGAATAATGAATATAAAATGCCTAGTACAGTGCCTGGCACATAGTGAGTATTAAGTAAACATTTTCTGCTCTTATCATTCGTGTAACTTAAGTTGCTGAGGAGTGGTCCCTGCATTATTGCATTGGTAAGATTGGATTATAATGAAGCTGTTAAATCATACATTGATATATTTGAAGATGATTGCTTTTTTTGGGGCGGGATAAACACCTTTATTACATGATCTAAGACAGGAGGGAAGAGAACTTATTTGCCTTTCCGAGCCTTGACTTTCCTCAGATAGAATTCCAGCTCCTTGCCCTCCAGCACATAGCCATCTGCCCGGCCACACTGGCCTGGTCTGGAAGCGATGCATGCAAGAAGTTTGCCCTGCTGGAACTGCTCCTTGAGAAGACTGCTAATCTTGGCATTCTTTTTCCTCTCATCATATTTCTTCTGAATTTTCTTTGATTGTTTTTTGTTTAAAATCTCTTCCTCCTCAGGAGTCAGCCTAGCTCCCTTCTTGCGGCCCAGGGGCAGTGCATAGAGGGACTCGTACCACTGTCGGTGCAGTGTGCTGTCAACAAGCACGATGCAGTTCTTGCCTAGGGTTTTGGTGTGGAACAGTTCGTTGTTGGATGCATTGTAGACAACATCAATAATCCTCATTTTGTGCGTACAACACTCTGAGCCCCAGGAGAAGTTGCCCACATCCAGCCTCAAGGCTCTGTACTTCTTGTTGCCTCCCCGCACTCAGACCGTGTATATGCGATGGGGTCCAATCTTAGTGTTGGCAGCAGGGTGTCCCAGCTCATATTTTCACTTCTTGTGGTAGGGCTTCCTCTTGCCCCCAGTCTTACGATGCTTGTGCCAGTTGTCCCAAGAGATGTCCATGGCTTGGTGCCAGCTGGAAAGAATGAAGATGATTGCTTTATAAAATATGTTTTTATTGATTTTTTTAGAGAGAGGAAGAGGGAGAGAGATAGAAACATCGAAGTGAGAGAGAAACATCCATCAGCTGCCTCCTTATGCCCCCCACTGGGGATCAAGCCCATAACCCCAGCATGTGCTCTGACCAGGAATCGAACCAGCAGCCTCTTCTGTGCATCGGATGACGCTCAATCTGGGCGAAGATGATTGCTTTTAAGTTGCAAGTACTTGCTGCAATTTTGGTAAATACTGTTTTCCTAAAAGAGAGAGAAGTACAAAAACATTTATGTAGTAGAAAAGAACAGTGAAGTCCAGAGAGAATAGGTAAACCTGTTCAGATCAGGTTTCTTTTTTTAAAATTTTTTGTTTATTGATTTGAAAGAGAAAGAGAGAGGGAATAAGGGGGAGAGAGGGAGGGAGGGGGAGGTGTAGAGAAAGGCAGGAAGAGTGGGGGTGGTGTAGAGAGAGGGAGAGAGAAAGAGAAAC